TGTGTGCCCTCTGCGTGCTGTGCTGCGGTGCCAGCGGTGTCGGCCGATGCTGGGGATTATGATGTTTCTTGTGGTCATGGAACTTTGTGCGGAATTGGAGTTGGTGTTGACGGTGAACCCTCCGCCCGGTTGGTAGTCATGCATCTACTGGAGGTACAAAGGGTGAATGTTTTCAGGGAGGTGGAGGTGACTCTCCGGGTTCTGCTACACCCGCTTGCACATCGTCACCTGCCGATGCGGAAGAGCCCGAGGGTGGGGCTTTAAATGGCCCCAAGAAGGATGTATCCCGTGTTGAGGAGGACCCCGATGCAGCGCAGGACCCGCTACAACCAGGTCTCACGTTGTGTCGGCAGCCGAGGTGATGGCGGCACAACCGTGAAGGAAGAAGTGACTGGTGTGGAGAGCAGCGACACTGCTGACTTGCCCCCAACGAGAGCCACGCACCACAAGCAGCACGACCAGTGACGGGGGAGCCGGAAGGCACAGGGAAACAGGCAGCATCGAAGGCGTTATCAACGCCAGCAGAGGGACGAGGGATATCAGGCGCGACGGATCAAAAAGTGGACTCACCAAAGGAGGAAGCCGCGTGCAGCGCAGGTGCCACAAACAGTCGGTCACCTGTCGGTCAACAACAAACCGAACCTTCATCTCCCTCTACGAGTGGAAGTACTTCGACTTTGACTCCGGAAGAGGAACCCGCTGGGGAGCCCCATTCCAGCAATAACCAGCCATCTGGTGACGCGGTACCGAAGGAAGGAACGCAACATGAAGGTCTTGCTGGCGGCGAAACGCAAGTATAGCCCGCAGCTACTAACGACGAATCGATTGGAACAGCACCGACTGGCGACGGCGACATCAGTACCGTGGCCTCCCACACCACCTCCCCTTTTTGCTCTTGCATCTTCCTGTGACGCGTGCTGCTGCTGCTGCGGTGGTGGCTGTGCGTGCATGAAGTGGTGTGCGCCGAATATGAACTAAGGCCCAATGCAACTGAACTGTTTTTGTGATGAATATAGGCTGCACTTCCCGTGGACCAACAATTCTCGTGGTGCGCGGGGATATCTTTCCCTTTATTGTTACTTTGGCCTTTTGGGCTGCTGTGTGCGCTGCATCTATTCTCGTGTGTGTGTGCGTACTCTCCGTGAGGGGTGCAGACACGACGGACCGCTCTCGCCGTGTGTGCATGCGGTGGAGCCTTGTGTGCCGCTCCTGTTTGCTTCTCCCTCTTCCATCTGTGTGTGTGTGCCTGCTGCCGTGGATTGGAGTGTGTGTCGTGCGTGGTGTGCGGCGTACGGTGCATGCCTGGCTGCTGCTCTCTCCTCATGTGGTTTGCCCTCTGTGTGTGTGTCTGCCGCACCTCTCGTCTCCCCTGTTGCTCTCCATGTCCCTCACTGTGCAGATAAGCTCCACACGACTGAATGACCACACTCACGATGATGACGTGCCGTCTGCTGTACGCCCTGCTGGTGCTCGCACTGTGCTGCCGCCCGTCCGTGTGCAGCGAAGAGGTTAAGCAGGACAATACCACTACGACTACCACAACAAAGCCACCAACTACGACGACCACGACCACAACAAAGCCACCAACTACGACGACCACAACGACCACCACCACAACCACCACGACCACTGCGCCAGAGGCACCAAGCATTACGACTACAGAGGCGCCAAATACGACGACCACCCGTGCGCCGTCAAGTATTCGCAGAATTGACGGCAGCCTCGGCAGCTCTGCGTGGGCGTGTGCCCCGCTGCTTCTCGCCGCATCCGCGCTGGCGTACACCACTCTGGGCTGAAGAGGTGTGTGCGGGCTGTGCGTGCGAGCACTCAGCCACGGGGACATGTGTACGTCTACTGTTGTCCGATGTATAAAGTAAGAGTACTTATGATGATTGTGTTTTGCTTTGCTTGCTTCTGCTGCCATGCTGTGTGCTCCGCGTTGTGCACCACATCCGTCACGTTGAACGCATCCCAGACACACCCATATGCATGCGCACTGGAGCCTTGGGTTTGTTTTTTCTTGTTCTTTAATTCTTTTTTTAATTTTTTCTTAATTCTTTTTTAATTCTTTTTTTCGTTGTTTCTGCTTTTATAGCTTCTGTGTTGTGGGGCGGTGTGCGAGTTCTGCAATTGTACTGATTCCATCTGTCTCATGTTGTGTTTGTTGCTGTTGCTGCTGGGCTGCTGCCGTTTGTTTTTGTGCGGTGGCTGTGCGTGGTGTGGCGGTCGTATTTCTCTCTTTGTTTTCGCTGCGTTGACGGGGAGTTGGTTTGTGCTGGAGGCCGCACGCAAGTGACGGGAGTGATGGCGATGATGGTGCCTGGCCGTGTGCTGCTGGTGTGTGCCCTCTGCGTGCTGTGCTGCGGTGCCAGCGGTGTCGGCCGATGCTGGGGATTATGATGTTTCTTGTGGTCATGGAACTTTGTGCGGAATTGGAGTTGGTGTTGACGGTGAACCCTCCGCCCGGTTGGTAGTCATGCATCTACTGGAGGTACAAAGGGTGAATGTTTTCAGGGAGGTGGAGGTGACTCTCCGGGTTCTGCTACACCCGCTTGCACATCGTCACCTGCCGATGCGGAAGAGTCCGAGGGTGGGGCTTTAAATGGCCCCAAGAAGGATGTATCCCGTGTTGAGGAGGACCCCGATGCAGCGCAGGACCCGCTACAACCAGGTCTCACGTTGTGTCGGCAGCCGAGGTGATGGCGGCACAACCGTGAAGGAAGAAGTGACTGGTGTGGAGAGCAGCGACACTGCTGACTTGCCCCCAACGAGAGCCACGCACCACAAGCAGCACGACCAGTGACGGGGGAGCCGGAAGGCACAGGGAAACGGGCAGCATCGAAGGCGTTATCAACGCCAGCAGAGGGACGAGGGATATCAGGCGCGACGGATCAAAAAGTGGACTCACCAAAGGAGGAAGCCGCGTGCAGCGCAGGTGCCACAAACAGTCGGTCACCTGTCGGTCAACAACAAACCGAACCTTCATCTCCCTCTACGAGTGGAAGTACTTCGACTTTGACTCCGGAAGAGGAACCCGCTGGGGAGCCCCATTCCAGCAATAACCAGCCATCTGGTGACGCGGTACCGAAGGAAGGAACGCAACATGAAGGTCTTGCTGGCGGCGAAACGCAAGTATAACCCGCAGCTACTAACGACGAATCGATTGGAACAGCACCGACTGGCGACGGCGACATCAGTACCGTGGCCTCCCACACCACCTCCCCTTTTTGCTCTTGCATCTTCCTGTTACGTGTGCTGCTGCTGCTGCGGTGGTGGCTGTGCGTGCATGAAGTGGTGTGCGCCGAATATGAACTAAGTCCCAATGCAACTGAACTGTTTTTGTGATGAATATAGGCTGCACTTCCCGTGGACCAACAATTCTCGTGGTGCGCGGGGATATCTTTCCCTTTGTTGTTACTTTGGCCTTTTGGGCTGCTGTGTGCGCTGCATCTATTCTCGTGTGTGTGTGCGTACTCTCCGTGAGGGGTGCAGACACGACGGACCGCTCTCGCCGTGTGTGCATGCGGTGGAGCCTTGTGTGCCGCTCCTGTTTGCTTCTCCCTCTTCCATCTGTGTGTGTGTGCCTGCTGCCGTGGATTGGAGTGTGTGTCGTGCGTGGTGTGCGGCGTACGGTGCATGCCTGGCTGCTGCTCTCTCCTCATGTGGTTTGCCCTCTGTGTGTGTGTCTGCCGCACCTCTCGTCTCCCCTGTTGCTCTCCATGTCCCTCACTGTGCAGATAAGCTCCACACGACTGAATGACCACACTCACGATGATGACGTGCCGTCTGCTGTACGCCCTGCTGGTGCTCGCACTGTGCTGCCGCCCGTCCGTGTGCAGCGAAGAGGTTAAGCAAGACAATACCACTACGACTACCACAACAAAGCCACCAACTACGACGACCACGAC